TAAAAACATAGAATATTAAAACATTCCAAAAATAGCGATAATTTAAAACGGGAAATATGCAAATTAATTATTTGAAGGCCTAAACAAAGGAATTTGGCTAAAATCCCGAGATCTCGGGTCGACCCCAATTTTTCAGGTCGTTTCCAATCAACCTGCCAAATTTCAGCCCATTTCGACACCGTCGCGACAAATGACCGAATTGCCCCTGGCGCGATCTTTCTTCATTAATTTCCTGTCCAGCACTTCTTCAAACTCCAAAACTAATTGTCCTACATCAAAAATTGATTTTGACATGGTTGTCATTCGGGTCCCCAAACTCGGGGTTTTGATGATCATCGAATTCGACACCCGCATATTTATATCCTCATCACATACGTCATTGCGCATACCAAGCCATGCACCAGGCCGTCCCACTGTAAACTCATTGGAAACTATAATAAAGGTTAGGCCACTGTCTCAATTCGGGACGCTCAAATTAGAGGCCCTCAAAGGATTTCTCAAGGGATTTGAAACGGAAGCGTTTGCAGGATACCAAAATTGGAAGGAGGCGGTAGTTTCAAATGAGGCTGGATTTAGACTGGCAGGGTTGAAAATGCGAATAGGCAAAGCATAGATTGCTCTTCCGGCTTGATATTTAAGATCATTTCCAACATCTGGATCAGATATTTGAGTAAACCCCTTTTCACTTGAAATTGAGCAATACCTAAGAACCAGTCGAAACCCATGAGGGAAAATTGGCACAATAGAGAAGAATGTGGAATCTAGCAATTTAAGGACTATGATCATGCGAAGGTCAGATTTTCAACGGTCCAGTTAAATCCAATCGCCAGAAATTTTAAGATTAGATTCGTATGTGGTTTAGCTACATTATAAACATATCTAGCCTACCCACTTGCTAAAGAATTATCAGCATCTGCCCTACAAAGACAGGCACAAGTACCGAGAGTTGGGGTGGTGGTTAGTGAGGGGGGGTCAGTAGGGTTCAATGAAGTTAATGCCTTCTTTGGGACAACTGAGAGGGACTGATATATAAACATCCAAGCTTATGTGCCTCAAAGGGTTGCGACATTCAGAGTCCCAACTATTTGGCTATTCTGCAATCATGTATGAAGGGAAAATGGCACAATGATGCTAATACCCATTGGGCTGAATTTGTTGGCCCAACTCATTTCTAGTTTGTTTACCTGGTGCAAGAAACGTGTTTTGAAGAATGGTTTAAAGTTGTGTTTTTCACTTACCTGATTTCTTGGACGCCTCAGATGTCACCATGTGTCGCCTTCAACACCATTGGATTGGTGACTGTTGAGTGACTCATTTAAAGGGGACTTCTAGGGTTTGAGCAACACACTTGGCTTCGAGATTCTTCCATTCTGCTCGTATTCTCTGCGCCGTTCTTGAGAGTTCTCTCCTTTGTTTCTTTTTGATTTTTGATTTTCTTCACTCAGTATTGTAATCTTGTGTGCTTTCATTAAGTTGAGTGTTTGGTTCTTGTGTAAACCGTGTTGTATTCAAAAAGGAGATCTCATTTGTGTAATAAAGGGTTTGTCTGAGTGTCTATCCTTTTGTAATCTTACTTTGGGGTTTGATTTGTACATGAACAGTGGTTTATTCTGTGATTGAAGCGCAGACTCTTTGATGTACAGCCTTAGGGCTTCCTTCGAATAAAGATACGTTTTCAGTTCATCTTTGTGCTCGAGTTATTTACAGTTTATTGTGTTAGTCCCTTACAATTCATTTTTGGTTTCTTTTGGTATACATATTATTGTTGATTTGTGAATTAATCTGTTTGATCTCCTCCAAACAGTGGTATCAGAGCGTTGGGAGGGAGTTCTTGATACTGTGTGCACTCAATCTTGACACTGTGACTTTTACCTGAGCTGCTCTTCGTGTTTTCTTGAAACCTTAATAAGGGGTTTTGGTGAGATCTTTCCATTTCTTGAATTATTCACGTGTAAATCAAGCTGTAAATTTGTGTTTTGGGTGTTCTGACTTGATTGGGTTTACTGCCTTGTGTGGATATTGTCCTGTTTTGGTTACTGTATTTAGTTAGTTTTTCTACCATGTTTGTGTGTTCTACATTGTGTAGATATTCTGACTTGTGTTTTGAAAACTTGAACTATTGACTCCTTGTAATTCCTTTGTCCAGAAACCAAGAGTTGTCCGGAATCTGAGGGTTACTTGGATCAAAGTCAAGATTCTTGATAACCTTGATTTCTGAAAAACATTCTGCAGTATTGTATAGCTTGATTGAAGTTCTGTATAT